TTGGGGGCTTCTCTCTTCTGGAGACTTCCTTTTCCAAAAGTCCTATCTCCAAGGACAGAGGGAGTTGGCTCCTTTCTTTCCTCTTGGGAATACTCAGAACAGACGTCTCTCAGGGAAGAGTCCAGAGACTTTGGCTCCGGTCTCACAGTGGACCCTAGCAGTGGAGTCTTTCTCAGGTCGACTGCACAGCCATAAAATGAAGGGATTTATCTAAGCCAGTGGTTTCTAAACTTAGCAGGACATCAGAACTGCTGGGACATTTTTCCAAATACACTTGCCTAGTCTCATCCTGTGCCTTCTGACCTTTCTCTAGGGAAGGTGTGTTTTGGAAAATATGCCACAGGTAGTTGTGGTCTAGAAGCAGGTTGGCTGTGGACCTTGACCCTGGTAATTTCCAAAGGACTTTCAGGCTCTGATGCTAGTTCCCACCAACACTTCTCTCTCAGCTCCACTGGGGTCCCTGCAGTCCTGGGAGGATAAGCTGCTGAGTTTTGTCCTCGGCCCCTTAACCTATGCCAGTTTTGCTTGCTATAAGTTTGGGTAGCAGCAACAACCCAAACTCCATCTGGATGAGCTTCATGGTTAGGGCCAACTCCAGTGCCTACCTTCTCAAAGAGATGGTGCTGGATGAGCCAAACAGGAGCTCCCATGCCTTCCCTGGCCGCAGAGGCCTTGAGGGGGTGACTCTTCCCCTAATCCCCAGAGCAGACACAGATGAGGGAAGGTTAATTTCCATCCCAGCTGCCTGACAGCTGGGGCTGACAGTGACAAAGTAGGTAGCCAGGAGACCGAGGACAAAGGGGAGGAATGATGGAGCGGGAGGCTCTGCCCCAGGTCAGTACTGGAAAGCCTGTCCCAAGCCCCTGCAAAAGACTGCAGATGCCAGAGCATCCGAAACCCATTGCTTCCTCCCACCAATGAGAAAGCTGAGGGGCAGGATGTGTCCTGGTCCATTAGTCCCTGTGTAAGTGCCCTCCCCGGGGCCATTTGGTGGGAAAGAGAGGGGGCCAGCCAAGCCTACCCTGCAGAGCCCCTAGCCCAACTGTGTCTCACCATCCTTTCGGTAGTAGAGGATGTCCACCTTGCACTCCTCAGCCCCCAGCAGGGCCTGCGCCAGGCGGGACACAGCACTACTTGGGGTGTTGGGGCCTGTGAGGAAGTCGCAGGTGCACGGTCGCTGCATCACCTCCACTCGGGAATAGCCGAAGAGTTCGCAGAAGCCGTCATTGCAGTAAATGATGGCGCAGTTCTCCATCTGAGCATTTGCTATCAGAAACTTACGACCTGGGGTGGGAGGTAAGAGGTACGGAGACCCTGGCAGCCTCGACTGGGTGGCAGGGAGGGAACGATCGTAGGGGCCCATGGCAGCAGGAAAGGGAATTTAGATGTGGGGGCAGGGCTGGGGAGGAGGGGAGGGTCAGGTAGGGGGGCGGCAGGAGGAGCGAGATCAAGAGGGGTGAAGGGGGAGGGAGGAGCATGGTGGCCAGTAAAGCAAGGGGCGATCAGTCCCGGGGACCGCGGGAAGAACAGGGAAGCAGGGCTGGTGAGGTGGGAGAAGGGCTCAAGACTTGAAAACAGCAAAGAAGGTCCAGAAGAGACAGCAAGGATGTGACCAGTTGGGGGTCAGATCTGGGAAAGCGGCGTGTCCGTGGTCACCAGGAAAGAAGCCAAGGAAACCTTTAGAGTGAGGGGGACAGTCTGGAGGGGAAGCAGAGCAATGATTACAAAAGCAAGTCAGGGTTTGGGCACTAAGAAAACTGGTGGGGAGGGGTAGGAGCCGCACTCTTCCCATTTTCCAGGATGGAGAAGGTGTTCAGGAGGATTCAAAGCGAAGGATTTTGCATTCAGAACGGCACCTGCTCCCCGTTTTCCCCAACGTAAGTTAGCAAAGAGGTCTGACTGCTCCTGCCACCGACCCAGGACTCTGGACCGCCCCCATCCCCACCCCGACGCACACACTCACTCTGGCCCTCGAACTTGCGGATGATGGTGTCCAGGTAAGTGTTTTGGGGGGCGACGTGGCCCCTACGGACCGGCATCTTTCCTTGGCCCCAACCGGGAGCTACCT